GTCTAAAAGCGCATAGTGCAAAAATATTGGAAAAAAGTGAAAAACGCCTTATTTTTTTGCATTAAATTGAGCCAAAATCATGTAGAAATGTGTTTTATGAATTATTTTTTTCAATGAATGTTGTTACCACATGTGTTCTTTGCATCTGCAATGCATTTATTGGCAGCTTAGCCAACCCACTGAGGATTTCAGGAAATTAAACATTTTTCAAATTTTTTGTCAAAAAGTGAAGGTTACATACACTAAAATGGCTAAAAAAAAATTTCACGATATTTCCGGAAGAGCAGACCCTCCAATTACTGGTCCTTAGGGTCACAGTCAACAATAAAAACACAAATAAAAAGTATGGCAGACGATGTCAAGTTCAACCCATTTTTGAGACTTTAGCTCCCTGACAAATTGTTTCTGCATGTACATTTTTAACTGTGATTCTGTTCTGCTCCATTACAGAAAAATGTATTGCTTTTATTTATACTAATTATTATTGAGAATAATAGGTGCTTTAAGTCTTCAAATAAGTCTTCACACTGTCCCGCTTCAAACTGTGTCTCTGTTTAAGACAATAGAAAAGTGTGAAAACTAAAGAATCATTTGGTCGTCTTTTACTTTAAAAAGTTTTAAGGACATCTGATGTTGAATGCAGATCTACACTACTGGTCAAAAGTTTTAGAACACCTTCATTCTTCCAGTTATTTTTTGCAGTTCAAGTCGTGCAGGTCTAATGAAGAGCTTGAAATGTAAATACTGAACAGACAGAGGTTCAAAAAAGATAAAAGATACAAAACACAAGTCCAAGCTCTGCCAAAACTACCTCAGGAAAAAAGAACAAGATGGTAAAGCTTGAAAACCTGGCGTGTCCAGCAGCAGCACAGTGTCCAGACTTAAACTCCATGGAGCTGGTTTGGGATGAACTGGACAGAAGAGTGAAGCAACCTAAGTGCCACACATTTATGGAAACTTCTGCAACAGACTTGGGAAGAACTTTCTGAACAATATTTGATTTCTATTGTAAAAAGAACGAGCCACGAGTGTGTTCAGCTGTTATATCTGACAAAGGTCAACACGTTCATGAATCAAAAGTTTAAAATACGTTTTGGTCTGTAAATTAATTCCTTGATTTCCTTTTCAACTCAAAATGTGTATTTGTTCTATGCTTTCATTTCAGAGTCTAATGAAAATAACAATAAACTGAATAATTTTCTGTCAAAAACTGGAAAAAGTGTGGGGTTCTAAAACCAGTAGTGTAATTGTGTCAACAGAATTAAATAATATGTATACACCCCAGTGCCTGTGTGAAGCGGCTGGGATGAAGATCGGCTCTTCCAAGTCCGAGGCCATGGTTCTCGACCGGAAAAAGGTGTCTTGCCCTCTCCCTGCCTCAAGTGGAAGAGTTTAAGTATCTCAGGGTCTTGTTCTCGAGGGAGGGGAGGACGGAGCGTGAGATTGGCAGGCGGATCGGTGCAGCGTTGGCAGTGATGTGGTCGCTGTATTGGACTGTTGTGTGGTGAAGATTTACCGTCTACGTTCCGCTCACCTATGGTCATGAGCTCAGGGTAATGACCGAAAGGGAGGGCAATACAAGCGGTCGAAATGGGTGTCTGGGCGCTCCCTTAGAGATAGGGTGAGGAGCTCAGTCACACAGGAGGAGCTCGAAGTAGAGCCGCTGCTCCTCCACGTCGAGAGGAGTCAGTCGACTTGACTCGAGCATCTGTTTTGGATGCCTCCTGGAGACCTCCCTGGAGAGGTGTTCCGGGCAAGACCTTGGACATTTTGGAGGGACTATGTCTCTCGGCTGGCCTGGGAACGCCTCGGGATCCCCCGGAGGAGCTGGAGGAAGTGTGTGTGGAGAGGGAAGTCTGGGAGACCCTGCTCAGACTGCTGCCCCTGCGACCCGGCCCTGGATAAGCGGAAGAAAATGGAATGGTAAAAATACAATGAAAAGGTTCATTTTCATGCTTAGGTAACATCATATGTGCATTCAGCATGATTTGATCATATTTCATCAACATGAAAAAGTTATTTTTATTATGAAAAATAATATGTAGATAGATGCAGGGATCGAATAAGAGCCAAAGATCCCCCATCAACACAGAAGAACAGTGGATAACTCAATCAATCAATCAATGAACCTGCCCAGAGATGACAGGTGGAAATTAACACTGCTGCTACAACCTGGTACAAACATCTCTCCTGTTCAAGTTCATGTAAAACTTGTGCACTGTCCGTGTCTCATCAAATAAATAAAATAAATAAATAAAAATAAAGCAGAATTTCATTGCACGCAATAGTTTTTCATATTATTTTCCTGCAAATCCATCGACTCCGTGTGCCTCCTGCTCTGCCCTCCCCCCACAGACTGAGCAGCACAAACGAAAGTAAAAGTTGTTAAACACGTGCAGGGTCTTAACAGGATGAGGGTGATTCACAAGATGTCTCTTTATGGCGAGAACTGATTAGGCTCCTGTCGGCCGTAATCTCGTCAACAGAAGCAGGACCCGCCCAAACTCGGCCCGCCTCCTCAGTCCTGCATCAGAGCATCTTGCATCGTGGTGTTCGTCCTCGAGTCTCATCTGTTCAGATCGCTTTAATTGACCCAGGTAAGAGTTTTCTAATCTCACTGTTACGGCTCTGACGCTGTTTGACTCTGTAATTCTTCTCCCTCCAACTCTTTTGTACTTCATGTGGGTTATCAGGAAAACTGCGGTGTTTTTGATGAGACTCGGTGCATTTACGGCGGAAGCTCTTCATTTTACTTTATAATCCATTTAACGGCGCAAATAACGGCTCTGGTGTCGTGTACACTCACGTATGTAACTCATTTATGCTCAGGGTTTCTGTTTATAGACTGTATATTTCATATTTTAGCAGCTTTTATTACATCAGTCATTTACAGGGTCACATTTTCCACATTTGGACTTGTGCGAGTATTTACCTTTGTATTTAGTGGCTGTGCGTTTCTCTATTTCTTAAGTCACATGTTCTTGTGCTGCTTTATGGGCCGCGCAGAAACATAAAGGCCAAAGTTGACTGCTGTCACCTCAGACATGTTCAGTGTATTTCAACATAAAAAATAAGGATGACAGCTCAAACATAATGTTCATGTAAAGGATTTATAGCCGATTTTATGATCCGTTTATATGACATGAAGAGGTGTAGACAACATGACACAGGACCACATGAAATGAAAACACATAGAAATGAGAGCACATTTCACTACATTTCTCAAGATTAAGCTTCAATAAATAACAACTAACTGAACTGTAATAGAATTATGTCATCATGTCTCACAATTACACTGATGTTGCTTTAAACTCACATATTGTCCTAAAAAAAACTTGACAGCTGACACTGTGTAAAAATGATAAAAAGTTGTAATATAATATAATACATCATAACATAATGTTACAGTCAAAGTCTATGACTAAATTAAGTTGTGATTTTCTGCTGGGTCTGATTTTGACTGTGCCCCCCTTTTAACCCCCCCAAATCTCAAACATTTAAAAAGACACAAGACTCAAGTTTCACTTAGATAATATTTCATATATATATACATAAAGTGTGCTGAGTTTGAAATCAAGTCCATGAAATTTAAATAGAATTTTTATCCTGAAATCTGCCAGTTTTCCATGAAAAGGCCCCGTATGTTTTCTACGGCCAAATGTCTGAGAATACTCTCTCTGTGTTTTCAGGCTGACAGAACCATGCCGATGCTGGTTCCCGCACCTAGTCTTGAATCAACTCACGTGTTCACACCAAAAATCAGAGTGTTCAGGAACTGAAAAGTTGGTTCCCAACGGGAACCAAGTAAAAACTTTGTTTTTCTAAGTGAACCGTGACAACACAAAAGACGTCAGACGTTCATCCAGGTCACACGCAGTAAAACAACAAATAAAGAGCACCTGAAACTATCACGTATGAAATTAAAAGTTTTTAGCCTACAAAAACTATTATGTAGCGTTGGTCTCGCATGTACCTGTGTTTGCCTGATAAGATTCCATCTTTGGACTGGGCGTCGCTGTCGTCTTCTCCACAGCAGATCAATGCTGTAGTAAAGCTCAGCGCAGATAAATAATGACTTCTATAAGTACAAACACTTGCTGGTGTCGATAATGCGATCCATGATTGTTATTTTCCTCCATGTGACATCTGTTTTTGTATGGCCTTGTTTTTATGTGGTGGTAAATCCACACCCTCTGTGGATGACGCGTCATGGGTTCATGTAAATTGTTTGAACGTGGGTCGTTCACCAGTGAACACTTTGGTTCCAAGTGGAACTGGTGCGGGAAGCGGCACCGGCATCGTTCTGACTGTCCTGAAAACAGCTTCTGGGGGTTTGGGGGTGTGGAACATTATTTCTGTTAAAGCAGCTGATCTGTTGGAGACACAGAGCTTGAAAAATGCTCAAAGTTCATTGAAGAGGTGTCTAATACTGAGTGTTGTTAAAAGATTCCAAGAAACAAGAACATGTCCAGCAGTTCAAAGTTAAGGTTGAGTTGACATTTTGGTATCAGTGTTTTGGTACAAATATGAAACTGACTCTTCTTTATTCATGTACGATTCAGACTTAGACCAGGAGAGGCCAGGCACTGTTTGATTTCTAAGAGTGTAATAAACCAAGTATCAGTGGAAATCTTCTAGTCTCCCCTCTGCTCTCAGCGGTCCTGGACACATGTTCATGGTGATAGTTGTGTTCATCGTCGTGTTCTCCGTCTGACCTCTGCCGCACGCTAAAACTGTTACACACAGACTATTGATATTTTGTCCAGGTGATGTGTGGGAGCTTCTGCTGATGTAAACATCTCTGCCCCAAACATGAACCTGTGTCCACAGACCGGTGAGTTTATTTGACATTTATTTTGAGGGACATGAAACTTCCATTAATCCTAAAAATGTGAACAATGTTTTCTAATATTTATCTTATTTATTCATGCACATGTATAAATATTTGTCTCCTACATGTCCTCCTATGTCCTTTTGTATTTTCACTTTGTGACATTCAGGCCTCCTTCTCCTGCTCCGAGCAGCGTCTCTCTAAAGAGTGACAGGTCCAAAGATGAACCTCCAGACTTCAGTGAACCCAGGTAAGGACTTTCTTTTCACATCACTCCCTCTCGCTGTTTAAAAAGAAAACACCAGCTTAAACCTAACTCCTTTTTGCCGTTTATTTTGAGTGACATGAACTATAAAACTTGTTTAAACTAAAACAGTGTTTTAGTTTATTTATTTATGCACGTGTATTAATATTTATCTCCAATGTATTTCTTTTTGTATTTTCACTTTCACTTTGTGACATGCAGGCCTCCTTCTCCTTCTGCTCTGAGCAGTGTCTCTGTAAAGAGTGACTGGTCCAGAGGACTACCTCCAGTCTTCAGTGAACCCAGGTAAGGACTTTCTGATCTCACAGTTCTTGCCTCTGACTCTGTTAGACTCCAGCACTGATCATTTGTGTTTGTGTATTCTGTTTCAAGGCCAAACGAATTCTCCAATTCCAGCAGTGTTTCCAGCACAAATGATGCTTCCGACTGGGACAATCCAAGGTACATGGCACGTCCAGACTGACATCATTTCTGGGACTTAGTTACTGACCTGAGGACATGTCTCATTTTGTCCTTATTGACATGCTCCTGCACTGACCCATGTCTGTCGAAAAAGTGAAGAGTTTAGAAGAGAACCTACAACCTTCAGTGTTTACATTTGTATTTGTATATTTAAAGGCCCCACGAAACCACAACCTCCAGCAGTGTTTCCAGGTCAATCAATCAATCAATCAATCAAACTTTATTGTATATGCACTTTTCATACATTTGAAATGTAGCACAAAGTGCTTCACATGCAACAGAAACATTTTAATACATTAATTAACCCCCCCCCCATACCACAGTTTAAACAGAAACATAAAAACTACAAAACTAATAAACATAAAGCTCTTAAAAGTTATAGTAAAAATTAAAAGTGTATAGCTAAGACCAGATGGAGACAAAATAAATAGTAATGATAATTTAATTAAAACTACCATAATAATAACAATAATAATGATAATTTTAAGTTAAAACAGGTAAAAGTTTCAGTTAAAAGCTAAATTAAAAAGATATGTTTTAAGTTTACTTTTAAAAATATGAACACTCGCAGCGGACCTCAGATCCTCAGGCAGACTGTTCCACAGACGGGGGCCGTAAAAGCTAAAAGATGCCTCACCGTGAGTTTAGTTTGAACTCTTGGGACAGTTAAAAGGAGACTACCTGAGGACCTGAGAGTCCGAGAGGGCTCATATGATAAAAGCAGATCAGATAAAATAAATAGGACTAAGACCATTAAGAGCTTTATAAACCAATAAAAGAAAGGTCCTCAGAGGCAGATCCTTCCAGCGAGGATCATTCAAGGTAAGAAACACATCTTCAGAGACCTCTGTAACCATGACGACTAGAGCTTCAATGTGATACTAGGATGGGATCTTATTGTATCTAGTGGTTTATAAATTTCGTGTGTGCTCCGCCGATCTACGGGCTTCGCCTTTGGTTACCTCTCTCCGGTGCAAGGCCAGCCTCTGAGAAAGATCAAAGCAGTCACCGCGCCAAACATGCCAACAGCCTGGCACATGCCCGCGAACCCGGTGCCCTATAAATACCAGGCCGCTAGCCACATAACTCCCTTCTTCTCTCAGAGCTCTACAAGCCCAGCTCCTCTGAGAACTTCTCCAACTGTCAGCGAGTCGCTGCGATGACACTATCTCGACCGCTTCTGATTCCCGAGCATCTCGCCGCGAGCCAGTAGACCTGCTGCCAATGTTGCTCACTGTTGATGCTGTCAGGACCCAGAACCCACTTCCTCTCCAGCCTCCAGAACCGGCGCAGAGGGATGTTATCCTCGGGCTAGCGTCACAGGCCCAGGCTAGGGCACGAGTAGCGATACTGTCCCGCTGTACCGTCCCTCACCAAGCTAGCTAAGCAGGAATGGGGGAACTCGCTTTCTGCTAAGGGACCGGTGCGGGGGTACCTGGAGGGGGCGTGGCACAATGTCTCTAGTGTGCCGCCTATTGAAGACTCCGTCAGGCTCTGCCTGCTCCCATCTTCCACCCCTTGGCTCGGTGGAAGACACACCCTTCCCTCGGACAGAGATAGGCGTATGGCGGGCTCTTGGATCGCTGTTATGCTAACGCTAACCAGGTGATGGTGTTAGCTAACATCATGGCTTTTCTGCTCGGCTCCTTTGACAACATTTGCCATGAGCATTCGGAGCTCACGCCAGAGGACATTGGGGAAATCCAGAACACGGAGGAAGCCCTGTTGAGGATGTGCCAGGCACAGTGTGGCTTTTGCCACCGCGAACCAGACAGAAGGAGGACAAGCACTTGGAGAACCCGGGATCGAACCGCAGCCCAGGTTCCAGCTGACTCCGCACCCACTGCTGGCCCAGTGATGGGAGCCAACACTCAGCGTGAGGGGAGCGCAGTTTTCTCGTGCTCTTCATGTGTTTCCAAATATGCTAATAAAAGTCTGTTACTTTGCCCAAAAGAGTAAAACCTCTTTAGCTCCAGTACACGCCTTTTGCCCAACTACTACTAATGCCGGTAGCACTCGGGCTATTCCTGGTGTGAGCTCAAGCCGCTCTCCTGCACTCACCAATCCTGCAGAAACACAGATGTTTACTCATATGCTAGCGAAGACTGCTGCTTCCAGTACAACTGTCTCCCATTCTGCTACTCCCGTGACCCACGCACTTTCTCCACATGTGTAGAGGCGGCGTTGGAGCCCTTACGTCAACAGGGCATTCGGATCTTGACCTACATCGATGACTGGCCGGTCCTTGCGTCTTCTTGTCACGAGGCGGAGGTACACACAGCCCTGATTCTGCATCACATCTCCAGGTTGGGTTTTGTGGTGAGCAGAGAAAACAGCGTGTTCTGTCGGGCTCAGTGGGCCACTTACTTGGGCCTAGAGCTGGACTCATGCACAATGCATACATGGCTCACCAGGGAGAGGCACAGAGTGCTACTCACCCTAGCCAGGAGTCTGATGGCCGCTCCATCAGCCCCATCCCACCAAGTGCGGTCTGTCCTGGGGAGGATGGCCTCGACTCATCCAGTGGTGCGCCTGGGACTGCTGCACATGCACAGACTCCAGCACTGGTTCGCTCGGCTCCATCTGCACCCTACAAGGGACAGGCAGAGAGCAGTGACTCTGTCCCCAGCAGCGCTGGAGGACCTCAGATGCCCCACTAGGTGGAGGTGTTCACAGAAGCCTCACTCGCTGAGTGGGGAGGGACTCTCGGCCAGTTGGTGATAGGTGGCACATGGGAGTCACCACTGGCCCACATCAACTTGATGGAGATGGTAGCAGTGCAGAGGATGCCCCTGCACTTTGCCCCCCAGATTACAAGGGGAACACGTCATGGTCAGGTCAGACAACATGACAGTTGTGGCCTACTTGAACAGACAAGGGGGACCCAGGTCTCCTCCTCTGCATCGGAAAGCAGCGGAGATCCTGCTATGGGCAGACTCTTGCCTGGAGTCTCTGAGAGCACGCCATGTACCTGGAGTGCTCAACATCAGGGCAGACAGAATGTCCTGAGGGGGGCCTTTGCCTGACGAATGGGGCCTTTCACCAAGCATAGAATTTCAGGTCTGGGACAGGTTTGGTCACCCCAAGGTCGACCGTTTTGCAAGTGCAGAGAATGCACAGTGCCCACTCTGGTCTCACTCAGAGCCACCACTTGGGGTAGACACTCTAGCACACCGGCTGTGGCCCGAGATACCAGATCAGATACCAGAAGTGTGATCAAGGTTAGAGCACTCATTCCCCTCACCAATGCATCTGAGAGGGATTCACGGCTGAGGTTGTTGTGTCCTGTCCGAGCTCTACGCTGTTACGTTGAACGGACGACAGCCTTTTGCACTTCGGGACCAGAGGCTGTGGGAACCAAGTATCGTCCCAATGTTTTGCTCACTGGATTCGTGGAGACATTATGGCAGCATATGAGGCTTTTGGTCGCCCCTCTCCTGCGGTCATTAGGGTGCACTCCACACTATGCTTGGAATATCAAGTCCACAGGACTTTGTGTTACTGCGCCAATCCCGAGAGCCTATCCAGCTGGGGGTATATTTATCCCTATGGCCTTTGCCTAGGTGGGTAACCAATAGCGAAGCTCATAGGTTGGCGGAGCAGACATGAAATAGTAGTTGCAGTTACTTGTCGTAACTATAGTTCTATGAGTGTGTGCAAGCCCACCTGCCTTCAGGCCCTGCTGGATTGTCTCCCTCTATGAGCTGATTTGATGAAGGGAGTTATGTGGCTAGTGGTCTGGTATTTATAGGGCACCAGGCGGTAGGTATGACTGGCGTGGTGACTGCTTTGATTTTTCTCAGAGACTGGCTTGGCCAATAGTAACCAATAGCGAAGCCTGTTGGTGGGCTCATACACACTCATAGAACTATAGTTATGTCAAGTAACTGTAATTTCTTTGCCATAAAGAAATAATATTTTTTCTCCTTACTTATTCATGCTCTGAAATAAACATTCAGGCAAAACATAGCAGCTAAATGGATAACTTAAAAAAGGAAAAAAGTTCATTAGGACAGGAGTGGCAGTCTCTCCAATGGAAGCCCATTTCTACCAGTAAATAAAAAATAAAAGCCTCACAGAAAGTCACAATTATGAGTTTAAAAGTCATAATTCCGACCAGGCCTGGTAATCAGGCATACAGGTGCATTTCCCTGGTGAGCCGATAGTCCTCAGGGCTGATGTGTTTTTTTTAGTTTTTTTTCTAACTTAGAGACACAATTCAGAGGGGGCGGTCCATTGGTCCATCTGTAATATGGACAGTGGACTAAACCAATCAGGACATAGTAGCCTACGAAAGCAGACCCACCCCTTTCCCGCACTGATCCTGCCACTTTCATAGGGTTGAGCTTGAAACATAGAGAAAGCTTAGCAGAAGAAATGAAGTACGGAGAAGTTAAAGAATCTCACTATAGACGCTGCGAAATGTATGAAAATAACAGACATATTTGCTGGAAGGGCTGCTGTAGCCCCCACGTCCTCTGCAGTGCAGGTTGTTGAAAGTGAAGACAGCAGCAGTGAACAGGGAGAGAAGCAGCCAGAGATTATTGACAGGGAACCCGAAGGACAGAGTGACCAGGGACAGGCACAGCAGGTAAGCAGGTAGTAAAATGTTAAATTAGATCAGAGTGATACTGTCAACACGGCGGGGAAGGGACTGCCCTCGGTCAGTATCGCCTCAAGGGACCTCTCCACGTGTATTGAGGGCAGTTGATCCCACGGCCCCGGGAAGAGGGTTAGAGGAGCTGTAGGGCACGGCCGCAGAAAGCTGCGAGCTCCAGGTGGGCGGCTGTGTGCCGTGCCGTGAAAGAGCACAACTGATCCCGTGCCGTGGGATAGAGGTCAGTGCAGGACAGAATTTTCAGTCCAGCTCCCACCCAGAGAATTGTAATTTTCATTCCGCATCTGCGATATTTTGTCCCGCTCTCGCCCGCAAATTGGGGACGTTCACATTCTTAAGCTCAAACATTGAGAAGTGAAAAGGAATTAGTCCTATCTAAAATGTGCGTGAGATTAGACCACGTCCACAAATTTAGGCTGCTTAAAATGTTTTTATTAATGCCAAATAAAATACCCAACACAAATGATGCATGATAGGCAGTTTATCACTCCACCCACCCGCTCCCGATTTGTGCAGTCCTGCTCCCGCCCACGATGAACTTTAAAATGTGACCCGCACCGCACTGTTTTGCGTCAGGTCCCACGGGAGGCCCAGGAGAGCGCAGAGCTTTACTGTGGGATCAGCTGCACTCTTTCATGGCATTCTTCAGCAGCCAGGTGCTCCAGGCGCGACTGTAGGTCTAAACCAGCTCTGAACCAGATCTAAACCAGGTCTAAACAATTATAATTATCATAGTTATTATTAGTAGTATTAGTAAAGATTTACAATTTGTTTGCTATTTATCTGAGCATTTCCTGGGAACACATACATAAATTATTCTGTTGTGCTCTGCTAATTATGAGGAACCGATCTAAGCCAGAAATGCCAGGGCCGTTTTTTTTTTTTGTCCCAGTCCAGCCTTGATCATGACTTATTTTTTATTTACTGGCGGAAATGGGTTTCCATACTCTCTTGAGCGGCAAGCAAAAAAAATAATAATAATGATGAAATAAAATAAAATAAAAAGAGGCACGTCATTTGGGCTCCAAGTGTTTTTTTCCACTATCAGCTCCAAAAAAATCTAAAATCAAACACTCCAGAGCCTAACCTCCAATTCACGCCAAGACACATCAGCGCGTAAGCGCAGCAGCACAGCACACGAGCAGCAGACGCGCAGGTTTAGCTTTCCATTGTAATCAGTCTGACAGTCCACACTGGCAGTGTCATACATGGGTCCAACAACCGTCATGACGCTAATGTGCTGCTCAAGATAGATTTCTAATTTTGCAGCATCAATGGAGCGTCTCCAAGGTTTTTAGCTAAGGAAACTAAAGAACCCCGAGCCCGTGGAATTGGGTGTCCACAAAGCGCGATTGGGCAACGGCTGCCCTTACCTTCGTGGGGTGCAGAGCTCAACGCCGGTCCTTTCACCTGCGGTCACCTGACAGTCTACATGGGTTCATCTCCGAGCCCACCCCGACAGTGAGTCCTGGCTTAGTCCTGGCTTAGTCCTTGCTTAGTCCTGGCTTAGTCCTCCTTGTTCAGTCCTGGAATCAGTCGTGAGTTAGTCCTGGGTTAGTTCTGGTTCAGTCCGTGGTGTTTCTTCTGCTAATGCCTGTGGGTTAGGGTTAGTGATGACAGTTGAGTCGAGCCTTCATACTGATAATACGTAGACCCGTAATCCTACTGAAGAAAGTGTAACCATTTCATTTTGTTTCGTGATTGTAATTCTTGAAGTCATAACTTTTCTGTTCATATTCTGATGGATTCTTTAGTTAGAATGATTTTAATCTGTGTGTGATTTATCAAGGACACGCGCGGGTAATGGGTGTAATGTTAATGGGTCTGGGCAGATTTGATATAAATCATGGGTTAACAGGAGGGTGTGGGTCTCCAAAAACTGACCTGTGCAGGACTCTGGTTCATACCCATGTTAAGAACATTTTAAGAACGTTTTAAGACAAATCCACACAAATGCCATTGTGACAACGATGCCCAAATTTTCCCCTCCTTGTGGCGAGCAATAGCACCAGCTGACAGTCTGAAAAACCCAGCTGCTCTTCGTGCCAGCCACGGTGTAGCCGACGAGGGAGCACCCCAGTCCCACTAAAGCCACAGCAGCAGTACGATGTTCTGTCCAGCAGCCTCAAGCAGTGATGTGACTGCTCGGTTTCAAACTGGGGTAATAGGGCCATAGAAAGACAGAGTATCCACGATCTCACTGCCTAGACCCGCTCATCTGCTTGCAGCTTTGCCTTTGGTTCCTGGGTTCAGGAAGAAATGTGTTGTGGAGCAACAGTGGAGGGACCTAAAAATGGACAGCAGACCAGATTAAAAAAATGAAAAAGGAGAATTTATTTTACAAAAAGTGGAATGCAGGGCTGGAGCAGGACTGAAGCGAGTGGGTTTCAGGCAGGAGATGGCAGGGATCACTGGAGAAGAGCGCAGGTAAGTAAAAATGTCGATGAAAGGAAAGTAGCAAAACTCGGTAGTGAGGAGCCAAGGGGTTCACCGTGTGTAGGTCGAAAACAATTTGGCAGAGTCTCGCAGGTGAGCAGGTCTAAAGTAGTCAGGCTCTTGATTGCTCACACACACACACACACACGGCAAAGGAGGGAGGCGAGCACCAGTCATGACAAAATTAGCTTTACTGGGCACTTTTGAGTGCCACTCCATGAGGAAAACATGGGCAAAAACAAAAAAACAAAACAAAAACAGTCTGTTTTAAAACTCAAACCCCAACCCCTTTACAAAGTACAACTAACAGCACAACTAAGGGAACTTAGTAACATAACACAATAAGTGAGTGATGGATCAATCTTACTTCTCATCTGGAGGAGGGCATCTGTTCCAGGAACCTTTTTTAAAACAGCAAAGCAGGTGTACGAAGGTTCATTGGTTTGTGAAATAAATACTGATGTATGTATTTATGTAGCAGCCATTTTAGAACTCCTTTATTAATTGTAAATCTTAATGGAATGACTGTCATGTTACACAGGCATGTTTTCCTGCATGTTTGTTACTGTAAATTAATATTTTACCATATTTCCAGTTCTGAAGGAGAGGAAGAGGAGACACTATTTGATGAAATGGGCTTCCCAAAACTCACACCAGGTACATGTTCATACATATGTACATATATTTTCAAGCATTTCATTCTTTTACTTTTAATCATTTTAACAATTGTTTAATCATTTTCAACTAGATTCAACAAAACAACTGAAAATACAAAATACAAAAACAACAGAAAAATATGAAAAGGGCGTCAAGGAGAAGCTTGATTCAGCAATATATGACATGAAAACAAATAACATTAAGAAGATTGATGCTTTGTTCAAACTAGAACGAACTGTCCTGACTGTAGGTGTGGCTGGGATTGGAAAAACTTTTCAAGCCAAGAAATATGTAAAAGACAAAAAAAAGTCTAAAGGAAAACAACTGAAGATTTTTCTGGACCTTGAGAAGTTAAATTCTAAACAAATGCAAAGTTTGACAGATCTGCTCAGTGACTGCTTTGAGGGTTCCAATCAAAGTTTCAACTACAGCAGTGAAGAGATGACCATCATCCTGGACGGACTGGACAAATGCACTCTCCCTCTGGACTTTGAAAACAACAAGACACTGAAGGACATCACACAGAGCGCTCCAGTGGACGAGCTGCTGACAAACCTGCTGCAGGGGAACCTGCTTCCCTCTGCTCAGCTGTGGATCCTGACCAGACCTTCAGGACAGAACAAGATCCCAGAGAAATACATCCACTCAGTCACAGAGTGCGGAGGTACCAAGTATTCTGTTATGTGTATCAAATACAAATATATCATGCTATAATCCTACAGTGCTATTATATAATAATGTTCAGATGTTTGATAATGATTAGTGTGACTCCCACTGTCAGCCTGCAGTTTAAAGCAACTCTACAGATACAGTAGAATATAGTAAAGTAAGGAATTTTCTTTATATAATTGTGTATATGTGTATGTATTTTTACAGAGACTGTGGAGCGCCACAAGAGACTTGCATCAAAACTGAAAGAAAGGTTTAAAAAAGAAAAAGAAATTCAAGACACAAAAAAGACCGAGCTCTTCTATAAGAGCAGAGATGCAAATCCTGTGAAGATCTCATCACTCTCAGATCTATTCAAATCAGAGAAAGAGGAGAGAGTCCGCACTGTGCTGACAGAGGCAGAGAAAGGGCTGGACCGCTCTTTCCACGTGCAGGAATTAATCAAAAATTGGGCAAAGGCAGAATCTATTTTAGGACGGGCGGCAAGTGGTTTCTCTTCATGGTTTGGGCGGAAAGACAAAGAGAAGGCAGTCCTCCTGTTTCCACTCATGTCTTCAAAACTTCTTTTACAAAAGGAACTGAGTTTTGTGGAACTTCTGAACCAATTTTTCAAAGAAACTGAGCAGTGTGTCATGTCTGACTATAAGAATCTGAGCTGTGTGTTCATCGTGGACGGTCTGGAGGAGTTTAAAGTGGACTGGACGGTGGAGGACAGAGTGAGAGACGTGTACGAGTCTGCCCCAGTGACTGTTCTCCTGAGCAGCCTGATCAGAGGAGACCTGTTCCCCTCTGCTCTCGTCTGGATCACCTCCACACCTGATGCTGCTCAGCCAGTGCCCCCAGAGCTCCTGCACCGGACCACTCACATACGAGGTAAGACCAACCAGTAACGGCTCATTATCAGAGATGAGAGATATATATCGATGGAAGGATGACTTTGTAATGGTTTTAAAGATGTGCAACGCTAAACTTGTTTTTTGTCAAAAATAGAAAAAAACATATTTTCTTTTCTTTGAATCATGAATTGTGTGATTCAGTTTTGTAATTTAACAACCAATTTTTGTCCTAGATAAAAATGCTCTTGATGAACTCTCCAAAAAACTGAAAGACAAAATCAAGCAGAGAGTGAAGAGACAAGAGATGGAGACTGAACTGTATGAGATCAAATCTGACAAGCAAGAAAAAGTCCTCCTCTCAGAAATATTAACCCGCAGCAAAGTGAGAACAGTGCTCACCACAGGAGTCCCTCGAATCGGCAAAACCTTTTACTCTGAAATGTTCCAGTTGGATTGGGCAGAAGGGAAATTTAAAACTGACTTTGTTATTTCAATTCCTTTTGATGAGCTCAATCCATCCTCACACAAAAGCCTAAAGGACCTCCTCAACCAGTACTTGGACTGTAAAGTGTCCAAGGGCTGTTACTACGATGAATATAAGATCCTCCTCATCCTGGACGGACTGGACAAATGCACTCTCCCTCTGGACTTTGAAAACAATCAGGAACTGAAGGACATCACACAGAGCGCTCCAGTGGACGAGCTGCTGACAAACCTGCTGCAGGGGAACCTGCTTCCCTCTGCTCAGCTGTGGATCCTGACCAGACCTTCAGGACAGAACAAGATCCCAGAGCAGCACATCCACTCAGTCACAGAGTGCAGAGGTGAGTATTCACGCTCACACATTTAATACAGTTTATACACAGGCCAGTCCCTCTTCTCTGCACCACAGTGAACACTCGTCTCATACTGAGAAGGTGAACCTAAAAGTGCACACGACAGGTTAGACTACTCATCCTACGAAAACATAGTTAAAGTCATTCTTTTTAAGATTTTACTAAACATTTTCCCCACTTTGACCGTGTTTTTATGCTTAAAAATGTACTTCCTGGTTGGAAAGGGATAGGGAATTCCATAACTTTTACCTTGTAACAATCTTGTACAGTAGGACAAATCTCCTCTAATTTACACAGAAATTATTACTGGACAGATTATTAAAAATATAAGAAAACACCTCTGTTTTGTTGAAATAATGTTTAAAATATTGGGGGAAAAATTTGTGTGTAAATTGTGACAAACTTTTAGACAGAATGCTCCCATTGGGATGTTGTCATCATGGAACTCTCAAATAAAACTTCCTATAATTTTTAACATATTTTTTAACTTTTCATCGGAAATTGCTTCTTATTTTGTCTTAATCATTTATTATCCCATGTATTCTCCCACCAAAATATTAAGTCAAAATATGAGCATCATCAGAACCTGTAATACGCACTTTAACCTTAAAGGAGATCTATTTCATAAATTCAACTTTTCAACATATTTAACCATAGTTTTTTTTTTTCTTGTCTTCATTTTTTTAAAATATGCCCATTCTTCTGAGGTTAAACTACCCCTGCGCAAATAAGTCTTGTACACAAGGAGGGAGCATATGATTCTATGTAGGCCTTGTACATCACTACATCTGTACTCAGGATTTTAAAAAAAGTATTTTTTGCTTGACAAAAAGAGGATTTGTCGGTGTGGGGTAATTTTCTTGATTAACAATTCTAATAACCTTCTGGAGTATAAAAAATAATCATTAATAATTGATTTATAAGTGTTCATCCATTTTTGGAGTTGGTCACAAGCAACAGCCTGTCACTATTTGCTCAATTACTTCCATTGTGGTTTAAAATAGTGATGCACCAATCCATCTTATTCAGTTCTGATTTTAACACTGCAGCTTTAAGTATCCACAGGTACCTGATATCAACCAAGCAGAGACTGAAAACAGCATTTATTTTCTTTAAACTAAATAAAATAAGACAAACCCAATCCAAATGTAGCTGCTGTTTATCTCACAAGCATCTACAGAATAGATTTGTTTAAAGTTCAAACATTATGAGACTTTCTTGACCAGTGATCATGATCAGTAATATTTTTATCACACCATCACAGGATATCGGCTCAACCCATATTTGCAGACTAATATCCAATCCAGTAAAATTTTCTGTATCTGTGCCAGTATCTGATACCAGTATAGTACTGGTGCATCCGTTTAAAATAAAAATCTGTACTTGTACTTGGTTTGGTCATATTTTCTTATTTATGATTTTTAGAGTCCGAGAAGAGGCGGCAGAAGCTGAAAACAAAGCTGAAGACCATTTTTGAAAAAAAGTTTGTTTTTGAAGAAAATCCATCCCACCCAAACCAGAAAAACACAGAACACATCAGACCAGACAGAGTGGATAGAAATGGAAGAAAGCAACAAATCACAGTGTCTAGTCTGTTTGAGAAAGAAGCAGGTAAACCAGTAAGAACCGTGTTGACCATCGGAGAAGCTGAGATTGGGAAGTCCTACCTGGTGCGGAAAGTCTTACACGACTGGGTTACGTCTGACTGCAGACGGCCTTTTAGTGCCAATAAACAGACAACAGTCTTTCCTCTCACATATTCACTAGTTAACACACTCACACAAACACTGAGTTTTGTGGAACTTCTAAACAAAGTCTTCAAAGAAACTGAGCAGTGTGTCATGTCTGACTATAACAAGCTGAGCTGTGTGTTCATCCTGGACGGTCTGGAGGAGTTTAAAGTGGACTGGACTGTGGAGGACAGAGTGACAGACGTGTACGAGTCTGCCCCAGTGACTGTGCTCCTGAGCAGCCTGATCAGAGGAGACCTGCTCCCCTCTGCTCTCGTCTGGATCACCTCCAGACCTGATGCTGCTCAGCCAGTGCCTCCAGAGCTCCTGCACCGGACCACTCACATACGAGGTAAGACCAATCTTACACAGAAAAAATGCTCTGTACCAGATTTAGCTCAAGCTTCCTTCCATCTGCAGTCCTTGGTCAGATACAGAGGCATTAAAGAGCCTATTTACATAAAGCAACATGACAACATTTCAAAGGTCTCCTTAAATAACCACAATCCTATTCAACATTAAACATTTAAAACTGTCAAAATTCAGAGTAATTCCCATAAATACAAAATTTCATATTCGTAAATATCTTTTAAAAATACTCAAATTTCATTAATGAAACACAAGACTTCTACATCTACATATATACATACATTAGGGCTGAACAAAATTTTTTTTAATCGTATTCGTATTAATTGCATGAGTTCCTGTGATTAATCACAATTAAACGCAAAACCCAATAATGAATTCAAAAGTAGCACATAGTGCACTTTTATTGGAAATGTAAACAAAAGTGCCATACATTTGTTGTCCATCCATCCATTTTCTTCCACTTATCTGGGGCTGGGTCATGAGGGCAGCAGTCTGAGCAGGGACTCCAGACTTCCTTCACTCCCCACTTCCTTCACTTCCTCCAGTTCCTCTGGGGCGACCCCAGGCCAGCCCAGAGACATAGTACCTCCAGCGTGTCCTGGGTCTTCCCCGGGGCCTCCTCCCGGTGGGACATGAACATCTCCCCAGGGAGACGTCCAGGAGGCATCAGAACAGATGCTCAAGCCACCTCAGCTGCTCCTCTCCACATGAAGGAGCAGCGGCTCTACTCCGAGCTCCTCACATGTGACTGAGCTCCTCACCCTATCTCTAAGGGAGCTCTCAGCCACCCTGCAGAGGAAACTCATTTTGACCACTCGTCCTTTTGGTCATTACCCAGAGCTCATGACCACAGGTGAGGGGAGGAACGAAGGTTGATGGTAAATCGAGAGCTTTGCTTTTCAACTCAGCTCCCTCTTCAACACAACGGTCCGATACAGCGACCGCATCACTGCAGACGCTGCACCGATCCGCCTGTCAATCTCACGCTCCATCCTCCCCTCACTCGAGAACAAGATCTTGAGATACTTGAACTCCCCCACTTGAGGCAGGGACTCTCCACCCGGAGAGGGTAAGACACCTTTTTCCGGTCGAGAATCATGGCCTTGGATTTGGAGGAGATGATCTTCATCCCAGCCGCTTCACACTCGGCTGCAACCTGCCCCAGTGCACATTGTAGGTCCTGGCCTGATGAAGCCAACAGGACAACATCATCTGCAAACAGCAGAGATGAGATCCTGTGGTCTCCAAACTGGACTCCCTCTGGCCCCTGACTGCACCTAGAAAATCTATCCTATTCTGTATATTCTATCTGTTCATAAATACAATGAACAAAAATGGTGACAAAGGGCAGCCCTGGTGGAGTCCAACATGCACCCACATGACCCGACGCAAATCAGTGCGGCGTGGGACACATTTTGAAAGCTCATTGTGGGTGTGGGCGGGAGTGGGACTGCACAATGCGGGAGCAGGCGGGTGGGATGATAAACTACAGTCCTTTAAACTAAATATGAGTGTAAAGTAAAAAATACAAATTATTAATGTTTGCCTATCATACATCATTTGTGCCGGATATTTTATTTGGCATTAATAAAAACATTTTAAGCATCTTAAATTTGAGGATGTGGTCTAATCCTGCACACATTTTGGACAATTCCTTTTCCCTTCTCTGTGTTTAATAGAGATTAAGAAAGTGAATGTCCACATCTTGTGAGATTTGACGACAAAGTAAAAACACATTACATACCCAGAAGATAAAATACAAAACATAGAAAATACAAAGAAAACCTAGAATGATAGACCTGTTCCCATGCATGTTGAACTCAGGAAGGGCTCCTCTTACATTTGATTGCTGATCAGATTACACTAAGCCTCATTTTCTGTGTCTTATTGCAATTATTTTATTTTCTTAATTGTATTTCCAGAGAAACCAGATATTGTGAGCCAGCGTAACCTCAAGAGGACGTTGATAAAACAGTACGAGTGGGTGTCTGAAGGTGTAGACAGATGTAAGACCACTGGTGTTTCCCTGAGGGACGTCTACACCAACCTTTACATCATTGAAGAGGAGAGAGATGAGGTCTGCCAACAAGTGAGAGCCAACTGGTCCAACGGGGAAAGAACATTGAACTGAGGAAGGAGATTCCCATTAACTACAAGGACATTTTCAAACCCTCTCCTGACAGACCAAATGATGATATCAAAACTGTACTTACAACTGGAATAGCAGGCATTGGAAAAACCTTTGCCTCGATGAAGTACATGTTGGACTGGGCTGAGGGAGCCTCCAGTCAGAACGTAAACATGACCTTCCCTCTTCCTTTTCGAGAACTGAACCTGAGAAAGGACAAGGAGCTCAGTTTGGAAGAACTTCTATATGACTTCTACCCCTGCATGAAGACATCAGAAATAACCAACTATGAACAGTACAAAATCCTGTTTGTTCTCGATGGATTGGATGAGTGTCGTTTAGATCTTAACTTTGACTCGCAGCCGATTTTGTCAGATATTACTCAGAAAACGACACTGAATAATCTTTTGACTAACTTGATTGTTGGAAACCTGCTTCCCAAAGCTCAGCTCTGGATCACCTCCCGCCCTGCTGCGTCTCAGTGTATTTCTGCTGACAAAGTGGCGCGAGCGACTGAGGTCCGAGGATTCAACGATGAGCAGAAGGAGGAGTATTTCAAAAAGCGATTTGATTCAGCTTTGGCTGAGAAAATCTTGTGTCATGTAAAAGAGTCCAGATGCATTTATTTGATGTGTTATATTCCTGTTTTCTGTTGGATCACCTCCGAAGTTCTGAAGTCTTTCGTACAAAATGATCACCAGGGGATCCCAAAGACCCTGACAGATCTGTTCATTCACTTCCTTCTGCTGCAGTGCACACAGGCCAATGCCAAGTACAATGAGGACACAGAAGAAGGTTCAAAAACCTGGAATGAAAGAAATGTGAAAAACATCTT